CATGTTGCTGTGTCGCACCCATCAACTGTCAGTGGTAATCAGGTATAAACTCCCAATGCAGTCCCCCTGCCCTCCATGATAGGCCCGGTGTGTATCGTTCCCCTTCCTGAGTCCAAGGTGATTCATTGGTTCAGGTCCACCTATGAGTGATAACATGCGTGGTTTTTTGTTCTGTTTTGTGGCATAGTTGCTAAGAAGGATAGGGTTTCCAGCGCATCCATGTCCTCCAAAGACACATAATCTCTTTTTTATGGCTGCATAGTAATTCACATGGGTGTATAATGTTGCACATTTTTAAAACATCTCTAAGTGAGTGGAGTTCAGAGACTTGAGGATTCTGCCTGCTGAGTCAGCACAGCTCCGCCTGTCAATCCTGCTTTTCCTGGGTTGTTTTCTTGCCCTTCCCCCGGGCTGTTTCAAAACCAGGGGGCCCTCCACAATCAGCCCTACTGAGAAGAAGCCCCTGGCTCAGTGACCGTAACTCAAGTTTTCTCCGCCCTCTCTTCTAGACTGACACCACAACGACAACCCACTTCACTCATACCTTCCTTCTTTCTGCCTTGGAGGGCAGCATCTCCTTCCAGTTCCAAGCCCGCTTTCGACTGTGTATGCACACCGCCTCAGTGGTCCACTCCCAGCAACCAACAGAACGGTGTCTACTGTGGAAAGGGGTCCCCTTCCTACAGACCTTCCAACTGTCTCCTTCCTCTCCTTCTTCAAGTGCCTCATGCTAAAAACATCTACCCCTGTGACAGTAAGGTCCTTCCCTTCCGCTCTTTAACTGCAGAAATTCTGAGCAAGAAAATTCTCTTCGCACCATCACAGCCAGGATCATCAGTACAAAGATTAACGAGCCGATCTAAAAATCTTAAAGACCTTACCAAGGAGGAGATTAACAGACAAAGCAGAGAGGTAATAGCAGCGCAAATAGACAAAGGGGTTGATGCCTGGTCTAGAAAATAGTGCTCACAAGTCAATTAAAAGAAAACACCTCGCAAAAAAGGGCTATGAGGTGAGACCTGAACAGAATAGAAAATTGCAAACAGCCGACAAAACACAAAATGGAAGGTCAATCACCAGTAAGAAGACACTAAGAGAGAAAGAACAACAGGGCTCCTGTGTCACACGGGAACAGAAACATGGCACATCCTTTGATGGCCTGTTTGGTCACCATTTGGTCATTTGTTCAAGTGCCCGCAAGCTAGCCACTTCACCCCTAAGAATATATTCCAAAGAAAAAAGTAAGAGAACACCAAGGTATCTCATAGGCAAAATACGCGAAAATATGTTATGGTATATACCAAAAGACCATCATGCAACGCTTTAAGTAATGATATCAGGCGCCGGCGCGGTGGCTCCGCCTTGTAATCCAGCCTTTGGGGGGGGCGGGTGGGATCACGAGGTCAGGAGATCGACACATCCTGGCACACAGTGAAACTCCGCTTCTACTAAAAATCAAAAAACTAGCCGGTGGAGGGTGCGGGCGCTGTAGTCCCAGCTAGCTCGAGGGGCTGGAGCAGGAGAATGGCGTGAGACCCTGGGAGGCCGGAGCTTGAGCTGAGGCGGAGATCCACGTCACTGCACGCTCAGCCTGGGCAAAGAGCCAGACCTGTCTCAAAAAAAAAAAAAAAAAAAAGAATGATGATACAGACTTATTTTAACATGGAAGGAGGTCCATGTTCGAGTAATAAAAGCAGATAACTGAATGACAGACACACTGTATTGCTTTTAAAAATCTGCATCTATAGGAAAAGCTTGGAAGGATATACGTCAGAGCTAAATAAGGGCTTCCCTCTGAGTGATGCACCACTGGACAGCTACGGAGCTACAGTAAGGGCTCTGCCCAGAGCCTCCATCCCTTTTCACCATTTTTTTGTGTGTCCTTGGATTTGGTGTGGTCCCAACATGCAGCATCAGTGGCTTTTTGGAGGAATGCACTCAGACTACTGGCTTTAAGAGCTAGACAAACTTGTCAATCTATACCTGCCTCAGGCCCTTAACCAGTCACCTGCCAACGCAGGCTTTGCTGACCTCGAAAGCTATGACACTCTGAGCCCTGTCTTCACACTTCCCAACACCACAAAGGTACGTGTGTCTCCATCATTCCTAACAATGTTATCTTCGAGGAATGTTATCTTGGCTCACCAGTGCCCTCCTCACTGGTCCAACGGACACTTTCAAACACCAATTCCTTGATTTCACTGGGATGTCCAGTTCATCAACATCTCTTTTCTTTACCTGACATCTTCCTTACCTCCTTCAACAAATGCTCTTTCCAACAAGATAGTCTCTTACAGTTTCCTTTGCCTTTGGGGCTCTCCACACTCCAGTACCTAGGATTATTATCCTGTGTTAATCACTCCCCAAATGTATTCCTGGCTGTCTTAGTTCTGGACCCACACGGGCAACTGCCTCTTGTCTTCCCCTGGGTGGCTCTCACAGGACACAGGCCATGTCCAAACATGAGCTCAGGGGCCCTGCATCCCACCCTGCTACGTTCCCTCCCACTGGGCTCCTCTCCAGTGTTTTGTCTAGCAGCGAAACTCTGTCCCGTTCTCTAGCCCTTGTCTCCGACTCAAGTCTGCTGAATCTACCTAACTTCTCCTGAACCCATCACTTCTCCCCATCACCTCTCATGTGCTCAGCTGCAGTCTCTCCCACAGTTTCTATCTCCCTCCAATCTACTTTTCACCCGGCTGCCAGAGAGACTTTTGTTTTTAAATACACACCTGAAATCAACAACTCCACTCCTAGGTTACACACCCAACAGAAATGTGTACCTAAGATCACCAAACACAGGAGCGAGAAGATTCATAGCGGCACCATTTCTGCAGCCAAATCTGCAAACAACCCGGATGGCCATGGACAGTGGAAACGATAAGTAACTTGGGGTGTATCCATACGATGGATGGAATACCACACAACAATGAAAGTAGATGAACTACAGTTACATACAAATACAAAGACAACACTTCGGGAGGCCAAGGTGGGTGATCCTTAGAGAACAGGAATTGGAGACCATCCTGGGCACCAAAGGGAGCCCCATCTCTGTGAAAAATTTAAAAATCAGGGGTGCATGGCTGCACATGCTTGTAACCCCAGCCACCCCGGAGGCTGAGGCAGGAGGATCACTTGAGCCTGGGAGGCTGAGGCTGCAGTTAGCCAAGATCCTGCACTGAACTCCAGCCTGGGCGACTGAGCAGAGCCCTGCCTTGAAAGAGAGAAAGTAAGGGAGAAAAAGGAAGAAAGAGGGGGAGCCACGGAAAGCGGCTTTGCTGTAGGGCTGGTTGTAGGGCCACATTCACCAAGGTCCCATGGGTCTAAGGCCAACTCCGAAGATGGAGGTTAGCACAGCGGGCGTCCCCTGGGCTGGCTGTGAGCCACCGGCACCCAGCTGGCTGCTTTCACCGGTAAGTTCACTTGTAAAAGCTCATTGTGCTCTTGCTTTTGTTCTTGCATAAACATCACTTCAACACAAAATTTTCAAAGAAAGAAAAACGCCTCCCTGACAATGCGATGTCCGCTTGATACCAGGGCCCAGTGCTGCCCGTGGAACAGGGCCAGAGTCCTCCACGAGCGTTAAGGCTGCCGTCCACCCGCCTTCTACCCCAGGTCCTCTAGGCGGGACCCGCAGCCTGCAAGCCAGAGCCCCGGGATGACAGGACTCGCGGCCTGACCCCCGCCGTCACCCTCATCTGCTCCTCATGGCGGCCCCCCCCCGCCCCCGTGGCCCCTTCCTGCCTGCGGCCCCTCACCCGTGCCCTCCTCCCCTAGTGTCTCCCTTCCCCGCATCTCCCCGGTATCCCCCTTCACCCCCTTGACCTCTCACATCCCCCCTGCCCCCTCCCCTAGCGTCCCCTTCCTCCCTGCAGCCCCCCCCCGCCACCTCCGGGGTCCCCTCTCCCCCCACCCTCCCACAGCCCCTCACTCCCCACCTCCCTCCCCAACGCTTCCCCGGTGTCCCGCTCTCCCCAGCGGCCCCTCATCACACTAGAGGAGTCCTCTCCCTGGTGGCCCCTCCTCCGAATCCCCCTATCTCCGCAGCCCCTCACCCCCCCATACCCCCTCCTTCTCCACACGCCCTCTCTCCCCCGCGGCCCCTACCCTCGAGTCCCCCTCCCCTCAGAGTTCCCCTGGCATCTCCCCTGGCATCCCTCTCCCCCCGCGGCGCCGCCCCCTCCCTTTCTCCACCTGCCCTTTCTCCTCCGCAGCCCCCCACGTGCCCCCATAGCCTTCCCACCCCCCGGAGTTCCCTGCCCCCGCCCGCCGCTCCCCTCCCCTCTCCAGCCTGCGTTCCGGACGCCCTGACCTTTGCCGAGGCAGGCATCACAGTACACGTGCCCGCAGTTGGTGAGGCTGAAGCACGACGTCCTCTGGGGCGGCTGGAAGCAGCGATTACAGAACACCCAGTTGGCCATGCCAGGCAGGCGACCGCAGCGGCGATGCCGGGCCCACGCGATGCCCACGCAAGGCTGGGACCAGCCTCCACGCGCTGGGCCCGCGGGCGGGCAGCTCTGCGCCTGCGCAAACTCGACGGCAGCTCTGCGCCCGCGCACTGGAGCTGGCGCCCTCCCGCCAACACCGCGGGTGGCCCCGCAGCACTCGTGAGGGCGCGTCTGACTGGTCTCCCGGGTCGTTTCGGCAGGAGTAGGCGGAGGCACGCACCGCGAGCACCGACGTCCCGTCCCTGTCTTTGCGGTCCTCAGGTGTTTTGTGGAAGCCCGGCCTGGGTGGCGGGCGCTGGGAACGGCGGCTGCGCTGAGGAGGCGTCGGGCGCTGGGAATGGCGGCGGCGCTGAGGAGGCGTCGGGCGCGACTGCAGTGGGGGAGGGGCAGGAGGAGCGCGGAGAGGGTGGGGGATGCGGGCCAGGCCCACCACGAGGGCCGGGAGCTGGGCCTGAGGCCAGGGCGGCCGGGGTAGTGTGCGGGGCAGGCCGGGGAGGAGTCGGGAGAGTGGGTGTGGGGGCCCTGGGAGCGGGATGGGAGGGAGGGAGGGAGAAGTGGGTGTGGGAGTTGGGGTGGGAGCAGGAGCGGGAGTGGGGATGTGGGAGTTGGGGTGGGTGTGGGGCCGTGAGGCGGTGGGGTTGGACGGCGGTGTGGGTGGGGCGGTGCGGGTTGGGATGGGGGCTGGGTCGCACTCTGCGCTTTCGAGCTAGTGACCAGGTGGCTGCTGGTGCAGAGACCTCACCACGGGAGGCCTGAGCCTGCTTCCTCTGAAACAGAAGGCGTAGCCTGGGAAGGACCTTTGCTGCTTCCAGCTTCCAGCTTCCAGCATGAGGAAGTGAATTTTTATAAAATTGCCCTCCGCGTGGTTCTGAGAGTTTCCACTCTCGGGGACGCTGCAAAGCTCCGATGGAGAGGCTCAGGCACGTGCTTGTGCCGGGAGAGCACAGGGTGAGTGCTCTGCGTAGCTGCGGGCCAAGTGGCCCCTGCGCCCATACAGCTGTTTCCAGGGCCTCGTGTGAAAAAGTCTTAGTAATTTTATGTTGATTACATGTTAAAGTGATATTTTTGATATATTAGGTTAAATATATCACTAGCGTTGATTTTACCCTTTCAAAAAATCCTTTTCAATGTGGAGACTAGGAAACTTAGAATTACGTATGGGCTGGGTGCGGTGGCTCAGGCCTGTAATCCCAGCACTTTGGGAGGCCGAGGCGGGCGAATCACCTGAGGTCAGGAGTTCGAGACCAGCCTGGCCAACATGGTAAAACCCCCTCTCTACTAAAAATACAAAAATTAGCAGGCATGGTAGCAGGTGCCTGTAATCCCAGCTACTCAGGAGGCTGAGGCAGGAGAATCCCTTGAACCCAGGAGGCGGAGGTTGCAGTGAGCCGAAGTCACACCACTGCACTGCAGCCTGGGCAACAGAGTGAGACTTTGTCTCAACAACAACAAATTAGAATTATATATGTAGCCCACTTTTATTTCTGTTAGACAGTGCTGATCTCTACCAAGTTTAAAATAGCAAGACCAGCAACATGGCAAAACCACGTCTCTACAAAAATTAGCTGGGTGTGGTGGTGGGTGCCTGGGGTCCCAGCTACTCGGGAGTCTGAGGTGGGAGGATCACTTGGGCCCTGGAGGTCGAGGCTGCAGTGAGCCTTACGGCACCTGTGCAGCAGAGCGAGACTCTGTCTCAAAAATAAGTAAGAACAGGATGAGGTGCCTGATCTGTCAAATTCAGAAGCTGTATTATAAAAGCATTCTATCAGTGTTATAATGATATAACGTTAATTTCAATCTCTGGTATCTTTTAAATCATAAAAGTAATACACATTTATGCAGGTATTTTGATTTATTAACTCAAACGTTATGCAAATTATTTGTCCTTATTGATAATATTTTAAACAAGCTTCTTAGCTATAAAGAAGTCTTTCAGGTATTTCATTTGGAAAATTCCGACTGAGATAAGGATTAGTATTTGTGCAAAAGCCCACCATAAAACATTGCTATTTGTGTCTTCACTGGTCATCCGAAAATTTTCTTCACGGTCCTATGCGAAAAAGAAATAGACAGGTTTAGTGTCATAAAGTACTTAACTCATGATTTTGAGGGGAGGGTTGTTGTGGGCATTCAAGGTATTTAATATTACCCAATTAATACCTTACACCAATGTATCCGTGCAGTCTGCTTTTCTAAACCAGAATCCATTGCTTAGCCAAGTATGAGAGTAAAAATCAACCTTATAAAAGATGTTTTTGTATTTTGGTGTAAAATATCAGGAATTTGACCTATTTATATATTTTATTTGCTACCATCAGGCAAAGCGAACATTACCCAATAGTGGTAGATTTCATCATTTGAGTCCAGCTTTTATGCTAGGCATTAGACCAAGCACTTGCATGCCTTATTTGCTTATCACACCTGTCCTTATCTACTTGGTAAGGAAACTGAAGCTTAGAGATGACACAGATTACTGACGTGTAGATGAGATTTAAGCCCATATCTGACCAACATCCACTTAGTGTAGTGACTCAAAAAGCACCTAATGTCATAAGAATAAAATTGTGATTTGGAAAGAGCATACACGAGTCTCTACAGATATATAGGGTGCATTTGGAAGCATTCATTCTGCAAGCTCACACCCTGTGCTGCTGGGGACTTTGTTAGGCACAGGGCATAAAAAGATGAATGAACTGAAATTCTCTTTCCTAGAGGAGCTCATGGTCCAGCAGACAGAGTGAAGAAAAATTGCTCTCTCCAGTCTCTGTGAGTCCACACAGTTCTACCTCAGAGAGAAAGAGTGAAGAACAGGCAGTTCATTCTTTCCTTGGTCCAGGGGCTTTGCGTTGAGAAATGCGTTACTAGTAGCAAGAGATAAAATAAGCTGAATAGGCAGACTGACCCTTTGATAGTTTTGTTCTTTGACTATTTGCCCAATTTGTTCAATTAGATATTCAAGCTTGAAGGTAAGTTCATTAACTTTGTCCTTTGCTTGAGCAATGGCCGCATCAAGGTCGTGTTCTCCAACTCGAATATCTAAGTGGATCCTCTGTACAAACAGTAAAAAGGAAAAAATGGCATGTTTTTAAAAACAGCTCCACTCTTTTTCCTTACTTTCTCACTCTTGTATCCTCCCATTCCTCTGTCCTCCCTTTTTCTCCCTTCCCCCTTTTCATAAGCAGGGCGCTACTTCACTCTTCAGCTCCCTTTTTTCCCTCAGTGCCACTCTTCCTTGTTCTACTTGGTAGTAATAATAATGCATTAAATGGTGAATTACTGACCTTACAGTATATTTATACCTTCCTGAACATCAAATTAACTATTAGGTAAATGACTTTGGTCTGGAGAAAATTTGATTAACACGTTCTGTGGGAAATTTTCTTTACATATAACTAAATTTCTTATGCTAAAGTACAAATTGTTTTCATCAGTTCTGAACACATTTAGAAAATAGCCAATCACCATCTACCATGTAAGAGTTTTATTTATTAGAATTCCATTATTAATTCACCCTTCAGCCTTCACTTGTTTTCAAGCCTGAATAATCACAGTTCTTTTAACCTTCCCTCACGGCTCTTATTTTTCAACCCTTTAATCAACTTCATGGCTCTCCTTTGAACCCCTTCCAAGCTCTCCAGCTCCCTCTTTGGTTGCTGCGATGAGATCTGGGCATAGGACTTTAATAAGTTTCTAGCCAGTTTGAGTGTAATGGATCTGCATACCAGTGTCATATTGAATAGTGCTGACGCTGTGTTCATCAACAAGGACATAGGAAGCATGTACTTACCAGCCTATTCCCTCCAAATGACACAAGCCTTGTAGAATTAGATTCTAAGCAAATGATGTGTTCACCAGGTGAATGTGAAGTAAAATAGAATGTCCCCTGCGGGCCATATAGCTTCGACAATATTACCTAGGATTAAGGATTTCCATAGATTGAGTTTATTATTTCCTAGTTTCCATTCTTAAAAATAAATCTTGTCTATATATTATCTAGTAAAAAATTGTGCCATTCCTAAACAAGAAATCAAATGGCTAATAAACATGAAAAATATTCAGCCTTGCTAGTAATTAAAAAATTCAAACCACAGTAAGATAGTCCTTGTTCATTGTCAGATTGACAAAGATTTAAAAGTATCCAGTGATAGTATGGAGAAAACACTCTCCCACTACTGTTGTCCCACAGAATATCCAAGAACTGTGGAACAACTACAAAAGGTGTAACTTGACACATAATGGGAGTACCGGATGGAAGAGAAACAGAGAAAAGAAAAGAAGAAATATTTGAAGCAATAAGGACTGAGAATTTTTCCCCAAATTAATATCAGATACCAAGCCATAGATTCAGGAAGCTCAGAGTATACCAAACAGGATTAATCCCCTCACCCCCTCATGAAATCCCCTCAACCCCAAAATGAAACCAAAAAGCTATACCTAGGAATATCATTAAAACTGCAGAGAAGCAAACACGAATAAGAAAATCTTGAGCAGCCAGAGGGGGGAAAAAACCTTACAGAGCAGCAAACGTAAAAATTGCATCTGACCTCTCCTCAGAAGCTATGCAAACAAGAAGAGAGTAGAGTGAAATATTTAATGTATTGGGAATAAAAAATGACCAACCTAGACTTTGGTATCCTGCAAAATTATCCTGCAAGAGATAAGAGGGAGTAAAGTGTTTCTCAAACAAATAAAAACTGAAGGAATTTTTGCTGGTAGATCTGCCTTGTAAGAAATGTTAAAAGAAGTTCTTCAGAAAGAAGGAAAATTATGTAGGTCAGAAACTCAAATCTGCATAAAGGATGAGCATTAGAAAAGTGGAGGTAAAATTAACACTTTCTATTTTCTTATTTTTTTTTTTTGACGGAGTCTCGCTCTGTTGCCCAGCCTGGAGTGCAGTGGCGCAATCTCGGTTCACTGCAAGCTCCGCCTCCCGGGTTCATGCCATTATCCTGCCTTAGCCTCCGGAGTAGCCAGGACTACAGGCGCTCGCCACCACGCCTGGCTAATATTTTGTATTTTTAGTAGAGACAGGGTTTCACCATGTTGGCCTGGATGGTCTCGATCTCTTGACCTCGTGA